TTTGGGGTTCCACCAACAAGGAGTGACCAAAAAATTTCTTTTGAGAGGGAAATGGATAGCTATGAACGTGTGTTGTATGATGAGATGAGTGTTTCTTCTAAAAGAGTCTGTATGGGTAGAGTTGGCAATAGGGATGGGGATGGTATAGTCACACATGTAGCAAAGGAAATAAAGGAGGAGGAGGCATACATGCAACAGAGGAGGGAGTCGGTTGGAGATGATGGCGCATCGGCGGCCTCCGAGGAGGAGGACCGCCGGGCCAAATGAGAATCCTAGGATGGAACTGTCGTGGTATGCTCTCCCCCACAGCAGTTCGTGAGCTCTTGGAGCTCCAGCAGCGTACCAAGGCTGATTTGATTTTTCTCTCGGAGTCACACTTGAATAAATGTAAAGCCGATGAGTTGTGTCGTTATTTATCTTTTGATTCGATGATTGTAGTGGCGAGTTATGGTCGGGCCGGAGGCCTAGTCTTGTACTATAATAAGTTGAATAAAGTTGTTCCAAATTATGTGTCGTCTCATTTTATTGACATTCTTTTTATGAATGATGATGATGTACATTGGCGGTTGACGGGTTTTTATGGTCATCTGGTTTGGAGTGATCATAAGTTATCATGGGATAATATTAGGAATTTACAAAATCTGGGTCATCATCCCTGGGTGATCTTAGGGGATTTTAATGAAATTTTACTGTCATTAGAAAAAGAGGGCGAAAATGCAAGACAAAATGCTATGATGAGAGATTTTCGTAACTGTTTAGGAGAGTGTGGCCTCGAGGATATGGGTTGTATTGGTGACCCTTTCACTTAGGAGAGGCGATACTAAAGAGAGGCTGGACCGTGCGGTGTGCAATGTGGAATGGGCGAATAAATTCCCTCAGGACGCATAATTAATGAGGAACACGTTCATTCTGATCACCGTCCACTCGTACTGGATACGGAATATTTTGATGGAAATATTTTTAACGCCCCAAGGGGACGAGTAAAACAATTTGAAGCTCGATGGCTCAAGGAGGAGACGACCGGTGAAATTGTTCGTACAACATGGGAAAAGGCAAAGGTGATGGGTATTGGGCCAAATCTCGCTGATCGTACTTGTGTGATTCAATCAGATTTGCACATTTGGGATCGTGAGGTTTTGAGAGGCCCAAAACAGAGAATAAAAAAGCTCAAAAAAGAGTTGGAAAAACTACGAAGGGGCCATATGAATGTGGATTCCCAAGCACGACAAAAAGAGATTTTGGTTCTCATCGAAAATTTGCTGGAACAAGAGGAGATTTGTTGGGTACAACGTGGTTGCGCAAATTGTTATTGCATGGGGATCGCAACACTTCTTTTTTTCATAATGTGGCAACGGCTAGAAAGAAAAGGAACTAGATTAAAAAATTGCTTGGGGACGATGGAGTCTGGGTGCAAGGTGCGGAAATGAAGGATTATATTAAAGGGTATTTTTCAAAACTCTTCACGTCAGAAGTCTCTCAACCAGACCCGAGAGTTCTCTCTCTTGTTAAAAGAGAAGTGACAGACGAGATGAATAGGGCCCTCATGGCCCCATATACGGCAGAGGAAGTTAAGAAAGCCTTATTTAACATTGGTGATTTAAAAGCGCCGGGTCCAGATGGTCTACGCACCATTTTTTAATAAGAGATTTTGGCCTATGTTGGGAGGGGACCTGACAAAAGAAGTACTTCAGGCGGTGAATACATGTTCAATACCGGCAGGATGGAATGATACTGCAATCATCATGATCCCAAAGGTTAACTCCCCAGAAAAGGTTACTCAATTTAGACCTATTAGTTTATGCAATGTGGTGTATAAGGTTATTTCAAAAATGATTGCAGCATGTCTGAAATTAATTTTGTCAGACATTATCAGCCCAACTCAGAGTGCTTTTGTCCCTATGAGACTAATCACAGATAATATTTTGGTAGCATACGAGTGTTTCCACACAATAAAAAAAGAATGGGGAGGGAAGGGTTGTGTGCAATCAAATTGGACATGCACAAAGCTTATGACCGAGTGGAGTGGTCTTTCTTCAAAGCAATTTTGTTGAAGCTGGGTTTCAAGAAAAACTGGGTGAATTTGATTATGCAATGTGTGTCCTCGGTGGAGTACAGGATTCGGTTTAATGCAGATGAGACTGATAGCTTCAAACCCACTAGAGGGCTAAGGCAGGGGGATCCCCTCTCCCCATACTTATTCATGTTATGTACGGTGGGCCTGACTGCCCTTTTAACAAATGCGGAGGAGAAAGGAAGTATCTCCGGCATAAAGTTAGCACGGAAGCTCCCTCGGTTTCCAATCTATTATTTGCGGATGATTCTTTGATCCTCATGCGAGCAAATGCAATGAACGTGGAGACCCTTAAAGCGGTTCTGGACTCTTACTGTGCCGCCTTAGGGCAGATGGTGCGTGTCGAAAAATCCAACATATTTTTTAGTCCCAATACGGAAGTGGAGGACAAAGCGCAAATCTGTACAATTCTAAATATTATGACTGAGGCACTTAATGATAAAATATTTGGGATTACCTGCCAATGTGGGCATGGACAAAAATGATTGTTTTTAGTTCTTGATTGATCGTATTATTATGAAGATTAGTGGTTGGAAAAAAAAGTTGGTATCGGCGGGTGGGAATTTTTTTTTGCTTAAGTCTATTGTTCAACCTATCCCAACATATGTAATGTCCGTCTTTAAAATTCCTAAAAAGATTTGCAAAGAAATCATAGACGTGATGTCACAATTTTAGTGAGGTGACGAGGACAAAAAAATGATGCACTGGATGGCATGGTGGAAATTGTGTGTTCCAAAAGACCAAGGAGGAATGGGTTTCCATGATACACTGTTTTAACCCGGCTTTATTAGCGAAGCAAGCGTGGTGTCTCGTGGATAATCTTGAATCGTCATGTGCAACAATCCTAAGAGCCAAGTATTTCCCCGAAGGTGATTTGATGAGCGTAGTATTAAAAAAGGGCGCCTCCTTTACTTGGCAAAGCATTATGGCAGGAGTAGACTCTCTCAAGAATGGCTATATATGGAGAGTGGGAACAGGAGAAAATATTGACATATGAAGAGATGCATGGATCTCAAATTGTGCAGACAGGAAAATTATTACACCTAGAAGGGGGGATCTACTGACGAAATTTTTTGATCTTATTAACCCAATCACAAATGGTTGGGATGAAGAGTTGGTAAGACAAACTTTATGGCCAATTGATGCCCGTAGAGTACTAGCGATCCCGATCCCTATGCATAATATGTCAGACTTTATTGCGTGGAGCTATACAAAAACGATTCACTGTACAATCAGCTTATGTGGAGGAATGGAATAAGCAACATGGGAGGAAGTTGGAATACTCGAATGGCATGGGCAAAAGTAACGTCAATCCTATTTGGGGTAAGATCCGAAAATTAGCTTGTCCGACAAAGGTTAAAAAAATTATTTGGCGGACGCTTCATGGGACCCTACCGCGTCGCGTTACATTGGCCAACAGACATAAAAACTCAGCCAATATGTCCAGCATGTTTGGATGGGCCAGAGGACACGAAACATATATTATTTCTGTGCCAGAAGGCAAAGGAAGTGTGGGAATATTTGGGGTTGTATAAGTGGTGAAAAAAGCCTGTGTCATTGATCGTGCAGGAGAGGCAGTCCTTGAATTCTTACTCCTTATGCTCGATCATGAACTACACATCTTGGGCTCCTGGAATGCAGGGGAACTAATCGCTATAGCTGCTTGGTATTTATGGTGGAATAGACGAAAACTAGTCCATGAGGGTAAGTCTCAAGAGGCGTCCCAAACCTTGATGGGGATTAGGGCTTTAACAGCAAACTATGTAAATGCCCACTCTCCTAAAGTAAAGAGAAAGAATGAATGATGGTGCAAACCTTCTAGAGGGTTTGTTAAATTGAATGTGGATGCTTCTTTTGATCATGATCAGCTAAGAGGCACAGCGGGTCTGTTATGAGAAATGACAAAGGAAACTTCATAGTAGGTGGTAACTGGAGGATCAGTACTATGCGAATGCTCTAACAGCAGAGGCGGTAGCACTCAGATTTGGCTTACTGTTTGCGCAAAAGACGGGATGCAATCGTCTAATTATCAATTCTGATAATATGGAGGTCAGTCTGCAAGAGCGGCTGCTGCAATTTTTTAGGATTGTTTTTTATGGCCTGTAATTTTCCTCAAACCAGTTTTGAACATTGTAACAAGGAAGCGAATAAAGTAGCTCATGAGCTTGCTAGATTAGCAAAATGTTCCATGACTAGGGATTGAATAGAGGAGCCCATGAAAAATCTTTGTAACTCTCTTGGTAGACGATGTAACCATTATTACTAATTAATAAAG